TAAAAGTCAATATTTGGTATGATAATTTAAATAAAATCTGATTTTATTTAAAAATAGATAATTATCAAATATTGATTATTTTATGCTAAAATGTTTAGTATAAATAGGTGCAAAATGTTTGCACATAAATTACTAAGTTTTTCTAAGTTCTTCCAAAGAGAAAAATCATCCAAATAGTTGAGTGATAAAGCAAGAAAGAGTTCTTGTAAAATTTCCTTATAATTATATATATATTCTATACTTATTGAAAAACCGAGTAGTTTCTACTAGCGAAGAAACTATAGTCGGAACCGGAGTTCAAAAGGTGGATACTCTTAGAGGGAAGACATTTGAATTCCTATAGCGAGTAACATCAAGAAGTGGATGTTACCAAACCGGGAATTGATTTCCTCATCCATCGTCGTTTTTTGAAGGAGTTCAAGAACAAAGGTAATTTTATAAATTACATATCAAATCAAAATTAGTAAAAGTTACTAGATTTTAAATGATGCTTATTTGTTATCTCGTTATACTTATGTACGGAATAAGTATTTATGAGATAAATACTTATAAAATTTTAAATTCCGCTGCAAACTCTGTTCCGTACAGTATATCGAACCCAACAATATATTCACATAAATTCGCATATTCGAACGGGGCGTTACAATTCAGGTACCTCGAGAGGAGAACATGCGAGCCGACTGGCTGGCAAGAATAGCAAGCTCGAATGATGCGAAGATGGGAAATAACATCACCACCATGCACCTTGAAGGAAGTGTTTTAGGCGAGACGATGGAGGTCAACGAAAAGGATGACTGGAGAAAGTCGATTTGTGAACTCTTGCAGGGTCGAGTACCTGCAGGGGATAGGAAAGAGGTTGAAAAAGTTGCTTGGTATCTCAGCAGGTACTTTGAAATCGACGGGGTATTGTACAAAAAATCACATGTCGGGCCCCATTTGAGATGTGTTTCAGAAGATGAGGGGAATTACGTTCTACGGGAAATTCATGAAGGATGTTGCAGGGCGCATACGGGATCTCGAACATTAGCAGGAAAAGCCCTGCGAGCAGGCTACTACTGGCCAAAGCTGCGAAGGATGGCGAAAACACTTGTGCAGAAATGCGAAAAATGCCAACGCCATGGGCAAATCACTCCCATCCCAGCTGAATATATGTCGACAATCAACACTCCAATCCCCTTCGCCCAATGGGGAATCGACTTGGTGGGCCCATTGCCGATGGGAACGGGACAAAGGAAGATCTTGATGGACACTGTCGATTACTTTAGCAAATGGGTCGAGGCAGAACCCTTGGAAAAAATCACCGAAGAAAAAATGATTCAGTTCCTGTTCAACAACATCTGCTGTCGATTTGGAGTTCCGAAGGTGTTGATTACAGATAATGGGACACAATTCCAAGGGAAACGGATCCAAGCATGGTGCCTCGACATGGGGATTAAACAACAATTTGCCTCAGTCGCACATCCTCAGGCAAACGGCCAGGTTGAAGTAACAAACGGAACCATTCTCCAAGGGTTAAAGAAGCGATTGGAGAAGGCGTCAGGAGCTTGGGTTGACGAGTTCACAACTGTCCTTTGGGCTTATAGGACGACCCCAAAAAGCTCAACGGGCCAGTCTCCATTTCACATGGTTTACGGAATGGATGCACTCCTATCTATCGAAGTCGGTCTGAACTCTCACAGGTCGACATTCTATGAGGAAAAGAGAAACGAGGAGATGGTTGAGGAAGCCCTCGACCTTATTGAAGAAGGACGAGAAGAAGCCTAGGTGTGATCCGTCGAGTATAAATAGAAGATACGTGCAACTTTCGTTAAAAAAGTTCGAACCAGACGATTCCAAGTGGGGGACCTTGTCCTCAAACGAGTAGACGCCCTCAAACATGTCGGGAAACTTGAAGCCAATTGGGATGGACCCTACACTGTCACAAAAGTGCTCGAGAGAGGTGCATACGAACTTGAGGATAGGGAGGTCGACAGATGCCACAGTCTTGGCACGTGATCCACCTCAAGCGTTTTTATGCTTAAGGCAATATTTCAAACTCCTTTTTGTACTGAAAAATGTTCAAATCAAATTCAGTAATGAAATGAATCTCAAGTTTATGCTTCAATTATGTCTTTCACATTTCTAATGAAATCGAATTTTTCAAAACGGCCATGTAGCCGACTAACTCCAATGACTATAAAGTCCACTTAAATAACTACAAAGTTATATTTTGAGTGGAATCTCAACTAAGCTACGAAGCTTACGACTACGAAATTGACTTACACAACTACAAAGTTGCATTTCGAGTGGAATCTCGACTAAGCTATGAACTTATGACTATGAAGGCAACTTAATCAACTATGAACTTGTAACTCTCGACTGGAATCTCGAGCAGTCTATGAAGACTATGACTACGAAGTCAATTAACACAACTATGAAGTTGTCATAAGTGATTAAAAAATATCATATACGCTACGAAATTAACTTAAAAGTGTCCACAAAGAAAAATAGCTACGCTGCTAAAATTATTGCTTGACTTCGACCAGCTCACAAGAAGGGTTGGGGAGAAGATGATTTGAAAAACTTACATTTATCGGCTACGAAGCAGCTAAAATTAATGCTCGACTTCGACCGACTCACAAGCAGGGTTGAGAGAAGACGGGTTGAAAAACTTACAATTATCAGCTACGAAGCTGCTAAAATTATTGCTCGACTTCGACCAGCTTGCAAGCCAGGTTGGGAGAAGACGGCTTGAAAAACTTATGTTTATCAGCTACAAAGCTGCTAAAATTATTGCTCGACTTCGACCAGCTTGCAAGAAGGGTTGGGGAGAAGACGAGTTGAAAAACATACGTTTATCGGCAACGAAGCCGCCAAAATCGTTGCTCGACTTTGACCAGCTTGCAAGCAGGGTTGGGAGAGGATATGCTAAGACGAGGACAAAGAACTTGGAAAAATTTCAACACAATCAAGAGAAGACATTAACGCAAAAATCCATGATCCGAAACAGGTCAAGAAAAAACTAAAGCATGACCAACCACGAGAATTGAAAATGATGGATATCATATTAATAAAGGTGGCACTTACAAAACGAGCCCCTTGACCTTTACAAAACCAGACAGTAGGTCGAAGGCGATAAATCAACACAATCGGCCCTACGGCCATCAAAAAAAAAAAAACAACACGTAACAAAAGCAAATAGGCAAACCAACATTTGTAAACATCAATTTGAAATAGCCTAAGAATCAGAAGTCGACTTCTTGGCAATGCCAACATTCTCTCCCCCATCGACAGGCTCCGTCCACGCACCCTTTTCCTCCCTGACCGGCTCTGTGCCCCGCCGCTCGACCTCCAACTCCTCATCGACCGACTTCTCTTCCTCATAATTAGCCCCATTTGGCCCGATCAGCTCGATCGGACAGGTCAAAGGGGATGGGGGGACCTCAAGTGGAGAAGAAAGTTCAGCCGCATGAATGGGCTTTGCCTCGAGGACAGCCCACCAGGCAAAGTCAGGAGGAAGATTCACATCGCCGTGGAAGCTTTCAGGGTCGGGAATGGTCTTCTTTGCTGCGGCCCGGTCGATCTTCCCAAAGAAGTCTGACATAGCCACAACCTTCTCCCACGTGTCGCAAGCAAAGTCAAAATACTGCACTTCCGCGCGGCACAACCTGTCGAGGAATTCGGGTGAGTCACAAAATGCCTCGACCACAGCATTGCGGTAATGATTTAGAAATACTGCACCCGTTGGGGACTTCAAGAAGGTCCTACGGCCTCTTGAAGCCCGTTTTCCCTCTCCACCATGGCCTCGTCGGTGGCCTTGGCCAGGCCAGCCTTCAGCTTCTCGACACGTCAGGAAGCTGCCTCCTTCTCAGACTGAAGTTTGGCAATAACGGCGTTGGCAGCCTCGAGCTCCTCTTCCTTGCCCTCGAGTTCCTTGCACTTAGCCGTGTACCTCTCCCCCAGAACCTTAACATTAGTCTGGGGAGAGGTGGTCTCCTCAATCATGGAGGGTAGGATACATGCGAGTAGCTATACGAGATGACAAGAAGGTCAAAGTAGAATTCGAAGTGAAAGGAAAGAAACAAGCATACAAACATTACTTACCCGGGGAATGAGTCGAGCAGCATAACGGGCCCGATGATAAGGGTTACCATCAGTCTGAGCCCTGTTGTCTTCAGGGAGGGTCGAGTGGAGGTATTCAAGAATTTGGAAGGGGTCGGGGTTGTCGTAAAGCCGAGAAGGCTGCTCCAAGGTAACAGAGCGCATTATGACGGAGGACGATTGCGCCGCATCTCTCTTGACCACTGTAACACCCCGAGTTTTATTAATAAAGGAATATACTAGCTTTTGAGTATAAGCTAGCCTTTGCTAATAAATATTAATGTTAATGTTCATGTCTAAGTTATTCGACCAGTTAAATTCCAAATTCGATGTTAAATCGAAAGATTATCCGGTTAATTTTATTTATTAACCGAGACAAGGATAGTAATTAATTAGTCCGTTTATATAAATAAATGGACATCAGTAAGTTGGGATTAATTAATTCAATGTTCGAAATAAATTTCGAAGTCAAGTTCTCACCGAAATCATATAATTCGGTTAAGATTTCTTACGTCAAGTTGAGATTCCTATACAGCGATGCGCTCACACTTGGTACACCGCCCACGATTAGCTTATGCTTAAGCAATTGTCATTAACCCTTGCTTAGTTAACTTAATCTATGTTTAACTAATTAATCATGATTAGCTTAAAAATAATCATGATTAGCTTAATGTTAATGATGATTAATTAACATTAATGAGGATTAGTTTAAGGTTAATCATGTTTAAAGGTAATCATGTTTAGCTTAGCATCAAGCATGCTTAGCACGGCCATTAGTGCACATAGGCACGCCTAAGCACGCCCTTAGCACATTTAAGCCGAGCTTAGTACATCTAATGGCCGTGAGAATTGGGTTAGTCATGTTTAAAGGTAATCATGTTTAGCTTATCATCGAGCATGCTTAGCACGGCCATTAGTGCACATGCCTAAGCACACCCTTAGCACATTTAAGTCGAGCTTAGTACATCTAATGGCCTTGAGCATTGTGGTCTCCATTCTTCACGTGCAACACCTGTTGGTGTTGTATACTTAAGCTTTGCTTTAGTGGATATTACACTTGTTATTCCTTGATGAATGAGAATTATGTTTGGTTAAATAAGTTCCACGTTCTGTTGTTTTGCATGTAGATAAGTGGGTCGTCATCGGGCGTACCGAAGATCACTATATCAGTTACTTGCGAAACAAGAATCGTTGGTTCACAACCTAGATGGAATTGAACAACCCATCGGAACGGTTGTAGTGTCAACCGTACAGTTTGTCTTGACCGATTAGTTGCATAGTACATTTATGTATTGAACAGGATCCCAGAGAGGGATGTTCGTTTTATACTAATCGTCGTAAACGAACTAGGCCTCAGTTAATTATTGCGTGCTCTTAACCCGTGAGATATTAAATAGGCATGTGCACATAATTGTTGTTGCTTTGATTCTTTGGGTGAGATCCAAGCCGGGTCGACATACTTAATGAATTGGGTAATAACATTGTGTGTTCGATGTGCTATTAGGATATTTACGGTCACCATGTGCGTTAGTGTGATGATGTCCCCGAAGTGAGTTCATGAAGGAATATTATGCTAAACCCTGCAGGTGGATTTATTCCGCATAATGTGAATTCTATGAGCGAGCGCTAGCTTCGGTAATATAATATATTAATAATTCTTGATTATTAG